GATACGTAACACGGGGGAAGTGCCCGAACTGCGGTAGTGATCTGTGTTACCCGTGGCTGAAGAGATGAAACCCGGGAATAGTAATAACTCTTGCTTGCCGGTTGACACGTCCCGCGCAGTCACGTGGAGAAAGGGAGCTCTTGGGCTCCGTACCTCTTGGTTTGAAAACTTCCAGAGGGAGAATGCTCTCACCGAAATTATTTCAACTTTGTTAAGTAGGCTGGAGGATGTGTATTTTTAACTATGCGGCAAATAAAGCATTCACTGTATAATTTGTAACACTGTAATATGAAGTAGTATTTGGTAACCTTAAGCGGCCAGTAAAAATGCTGTGTTAATTCGGCATCCTAACTACTTCTGACGTGGCTATTTATTTGTGTACTAGGAAGATGTTTGATAAACCGAACAGCAGTGCGTTTCACGTCATTGCCCTCTTCTTGTTTGCTAAGCTGGATAAGTCCCACGCGGCAGAAGCTTTCAAGTAAGTATTTGGCTTGTGAGGTTACTGCTGTGCACATAATCAAGAATGTGGTTTATACAGTTGCTGAGGGGGGAAGAAAAGTGGTCTCTTGGGGAATGCTGTGGAAAAAGAACATACAGCCAGAGGATTTGTTTCCTCTTGATCACAACTCTGTAATGTATCAGAAGACTTAAACTTGTTTCTGATAGTATCTGTAACTTGGCAAGTTTGGTAAAAACTTTCATAGCTGCCAAGTAATTTAACTTTCCCACGCGGTTCCCTGACAAAACAGCGAGTAACACTTCCGAGTTATGGATTGCTGCCAGGACCTTCAACGTGGCAAGAACCCCATCTTCCTTGATGTTTTTCCTAGTATAGCTGAGCTATTTTAGCTTACACATTAGAGAAATGGCTGGAGGAAGACCAGCGATATGAAAATTGTCAGCATTCCAACCCCTTTTTTTCCCCTCTTCCCTTCTCCTGAGTTAAAAAGAGCTGCAGACAAATCTGTCTCTGAAATAGCCTGTAATTAACTTATTATGGCAAGAAAACCTTGTCATTTAACAAACTTTTAGCTATTCTATTCCAGGAGGCATCAGTAAGAAATCTTTGTCTTAGTTGTGTTCTTATAATGGTTAATTAGGTAACTGAATATTTGAACGTGTTTTGACGTTGCTTTTTCTTTTTTTTCCTTCTTTTTCCTTATCCTTTTTACATGGAAAGAGACTGTTCAGTTCCAGTAGGAAATCCTGAATTTAGGAAGCAGTGCTGTATATGGCTAAAAGATATTGCAGTGAGTATTATGAAGAGTGGAAATTGGTGCTCTACTGGTTTTTGTGACTTCATTCTTTTTTTGAGAGAATATCTAGTGCTTTTAAATAAGAGTTTTAAATAGGATTGTTTTACCAAAGAATTCGGTTTTACCTTTTGTCTTATTTCACATAGTTTATCTTAGACTTGTTTGAGGAAAAAATTGTGGCATGGCGGAATTTAGATGACAGAGACTTAATCTTGGGTCTTAAAACTGCTGTGGCTGCTTCTGAATAATGGTGTTTGGTTAAACAGAAGTCTAGAGGGTTCCTCAGCTCTGGGTGAGAATAATTTTCTTCAACTTGAGAGATGTTTGCTTAAGTTGCCTGGGAAGCTGCTTATTACTGTGAAAGTGGTTTCAGATACGTGAAAAACTTTTTTAACATCAGTCTTTCCTTATATATGGGGAAAGGGACTAAAGTTTAAGGTGAGCTTTCTAAAGGAAAACAGACAAACCAAAATTGATTGCTTCAGGTATCATTGGTTATTATGTTATCTTCTCATGCTGCCTTTCTTTTAATGATAGTTCTAGAAATCAGGTCTATATGTATTGGAACACTTTTATTTTCTTAGTAGTAATGGACAAGGTGAAAGCCAACAGTGAAATATCTTTGAGTAAGACAAAACCAGAACAAAGTACACTGATTAATGACTTCAGTAGAAAATATGAAAGAAAACTTGAATGTTTTTTCAAAGGTAGGGATTACCAGTTAGAAGTGAGGAGGGCAGAGATTTCTAACATTTACCCAACACTGATTTCAGTCTTTGCATTGAAACTGTCTTTAGCCTACAGAACTAGGGATGGGGGTTGAACATTCAAAGAGTTTTAGTCTCTTCTGCTGACTAGAGTAGATGTCAACTGTGGTGGCAAAGTAGTTTAGCTTTGCATCGGGCTGGCTAGCAAGTAGGCTGCAGTGTTTTGGTACTCAGCTAAATGTTTGATGGCTGTTGTTTATTTCTTAGATTAGTTTTGTGTTTAAAACAAATTTAACTTTTCTAGAATGAAGACAAAAGCTGTTTTCCAGAAGTTACACCTTCATTATTTATTTCTCCTGCTGGTCCTAAATTTATTCAACTGTTATATTGGTTTGCAAGACATGTGCTGGTTAAGGACATGAAAACGAACTCCGTAGGTAAGCGTAATGGAACAATAAAAATGCTTCATTTGTCATGTTTGACAGTGAATCTGTCAAGTCTTTGATATATGCCAAGAGCTTTAAGTAGTTCTGAGTTGGCCGCTCTGTTCAAAATCTTTCACAGGGTTCTGTGCACTTGCATAGAGCTACTGCAGATAGAACAGTGCAGATTGTTTTGCTTTCTATTGCTTTATGGGTCTTGCTGCAAGGTTCATCTGTGTAATGCTGTATACCATTACCCACACAAGCAATGGTTTGGTCCAAAAGTGCCAAGACCACTATACTATATTCTTTCTCACAACTTGAGGAATTCTGAAGGATCAGGACTGTCTATTGTAGGCATCTTGTATTGTTTTGGTGACCTAAAGAATAGGGAGAGGGAGGGAGTGAGGGAATAAAAATGCGTACAATGGAAAGAACTGGCAAAAAAGACAGTACACTGCATACTCCGTTTAAGTCCAGGTAAAATGGGCATCTTGATTTGTGACTCTTTCAATTAAAACTAGGTAGATGAGGAAGTTGTCTGTTTGCTAAAAGTGAATGATGTAATCCAAACATTAACTTTCATTTAGGCATTGATATACCTTTTGCTGAAGCTGTAGTGTTGAGACCTAAGGATATACACATGGCAAATGCAAGATGTAGAGTCGCATACAATAAACTTCTGCAAATTCTTCAAAAGGAAGATTTTGTTATTCAAGAATATGAGAAAAAAGCACAGTAAGTAATGCATTTAAAGAAATGGAGTCTTTTCATAAAAGCCGACTTTTGTGTGTTTTTAAAAGGATTTGAGGAGGCTGCATCTGCTTTCCATCATGAGTTCTGTTGAGCTTCTCCCCATTTTTTTCCCCCTTTACCTCCTTTAATTGGTAGTTCTACTGTTTGTAGGGTCTTCTGTGAAGCATAGTAGTCTAAACAAATCAGTTATTCAGTTATTATAGGAGATGCTATATTTTGGAAGATAGGGTCACTTGGGCATTAAAAATGATCAGGTGCATGTATAGCACTATGATTTCTTAACATTTGAAGGGTCACGTCTTAGAACATAACTGTCTCAGGATAAAACGTTGGGTCTTTGCTTAGTCACTGTGGGACACATTTTATTTACGTAATCCTTAATTACTTCACCAAGTTATGCTATTCTTTATTCTTGTGTATGGAAATCATTCCCAGTTTGAGAAACAAGAATAACTGGAACTTTCTGTGCAGGCAAAGAGTTATGTATCATTGGAATTTACAGAATTTGGGTGGGATAGTTTACATGACGGGAACACTGTCGTGGACAGTTGCAAGCTGTTCAGTAAATGGCAGAAAAGGAGGAGGAGTTGCACTGTAGAGCAGTTCCAGTACATGTAGCATAGCTCTGTACAAGAGGACCGGTCTGTTTCATGCCTTCGCATCAAGATCAGAGGGCTTAGGATCAAGAGAGACCTCATGGTGGGTGTCTACTATACACCTCTTCCTCTATACCAGGGAGGGTATATGAAATCTCCTTCAGATGAATCAAACACACCTCAGACCTGCAGGCCTTGATTCTTATAGAGGACTTCAGCTTACCCTGGTATTTGCTGGGAAAGCAGTACAGTGATGCATTAGCTATCTGGGAAACTGGAGTGCATTGAGGATGACTTTGTAATGCAAACACTGGGTGTGCTGAGTAGGAGTGGTGCTCTTTTGAACTCACTGCTTACAAGTAAGAGAGACTTTTCTGGAGACGTAACTGCCAACAGGAGCCATATGGTCACTGCAGCCAAGACTGTAAAACTTAAGATCCTAAGGAATGTGAGGAAGACAAATGGAAGACTAATGACACTGGACTTAAAGGAGTGAATTTCCACTTGCCTAGGGAACTGCTATGAGGTATCTGGTGGAAAGCAGAAGGGCTCAGGAGTGGTAGGTTATTTTCAGAGATCCTCGCTGAAGGTCAAGCGTGGTCCATCCACTTAAGTGGGAAAAGAAGCAGGCATAACAAGAAACCAACCTGGTTAAAACAGTGAGCTAGTGATAGAGCTCAGAAACCGAAGAAACAGCATGTGGAATATGGAAAAGGGGACTGACCCCCTGACATAAATACAGAAATATTTCTCAGGTGTGCAGTGATGTTGTTATGAAGGCCAAAGTTCAGCTAAAGCTCCAAGAGCCTAGTAAGAGCCTGGAAAAAAGCTTCCGTAGGTGTGTTGTTAGGAAGTGGAAGTACATGGAGGATTTAGGTCTGCTTCTGAATGAAATGGTATGTTAAGTTACAAGTGTCACAGGCTGAAATACCTAATGCCTTCTTTGCCTCACTTGTCATGGTGAGTAACCCAGTCTCTGTGCCAAGAAGCAATGATGAAAGAAGCAACAAACCACTGATAGTAGAAGAGGGTAAAGCAGAGGTTCATGTGTACAAACTGGACATACACAAACCTTTGCTACCTGATGGCATGCATCCAAAGGTGCAGAGGTACTTACCTGGCATCATTCAGAACTGCTCCGTCATCTTTGGAAAGATAGAAGGCTAGCTGAAGGGATGAACCCAAAGGGTGGTAGTGCCTCAAAGTCTAACTGATCATGATCATGAGTGGAGTTCCTCTGGGGCTGATACTGGGTCTTACACTATTCCTTGTCTTCATAAGGGATGTGGATGACAGGATTGAATGCAAACCCACCAAACTTGCAGATGACGCCAAACTGTGAGGAAAGGTAGATATACTGGAATGAAGAGCCATTACACAGAGAGACCTTGCTGGGTTTGGAGACTTGACCAACAAGAATTGTGTGAGGTTTAACAAAGATCAGTGTGAAGTCCTGCACCTGGGAGGGAATAATCCCCAACAGCAGCACAGGCTTGCAAGTGGTTGGCTAGGGAGCAGCTCTGCTAAGAAGAAACAGAGGTGAGAGTAGTGTTGGGCCACAAGCTGAGCACAAGTCAGCAGTGTGCCCTGGTAGCCAAGAAGACCAACAGCCTCCTAGGCTGTGTGAAAAGGAGCAGAGCCATCGGATCAAGAGATGCATTTCACTCTGCCTGGCGATTCTAAGGCCACACCTGGAATACTGTGTTCAGTTTTGTCCCCCCAGTTGAGGAGAGATTGAAAGATAGGAGAGATTCTAGCAGAGGACTACAGTGATTAGAGGGTTGGAGAACTTGACACATATGAGTAAAAACTGTAGAAATTGGGTTTGTTTAGCCTCAGGAAGAAAAAACTCAGGGGGTTTAATCACAGTCTTCCAATATCTAAAAAGTAGAGAAGATGTTGGTACTCTCTCCACAAGGATGTATGGTGACAGGACAAGAGGCAACAGGCCCAAGGTGCTTAAGGGAAAACTTGATCTGAATGAAAAAAAAAAGGAAAAAATCTCATGTGAGAACAATTAAACACTGGAAATGGTTGCCTAGAAAAGTGGTGGAATCTCCCTTGCTGGAAACATTCAAGGCTTGGCTTGACAGGACTATGAGTACCATAATTGAAGGCTCTGCTTTCAGTGGAAGGCTCAACGATATAATTCCCGGAGGTCAAAGTCTCCTAAACTTCTCTGATTTCTATAATTCTGCATCTCACCCTGCTTGGGAGGTGTTGGTGCGCTTGCTTACCTTGTGAGTGGTACCCATCAAAAATGTAATTCTCTATAGTTTTTTTATTCTCAACAAGGCATCAGAACTCTGAAGGTCCTTTAGAATTCAGCATGATTCAGGCACCCAGTGTTTCTGAAAATCAGGCCACTGTGTTTTTACATGTTTAAAAATTTAATAAAAGCACTTTGGCTTTGGCAAAAGAACTTTGGTGGTCCAGCTGCTTGTACTCCGGTATTCTGTTCTCTAGTTTTTTGAAGCTGAGGGATTTGGGTACCGTACAATTGCTGAATATTTGGAGGTTTATACTGATAAAGTACATTTCTGGTAACTTCATTATTGTTCTTGGGTCTAATAAAAACTGTTCCATCGCAATAGAATAAGCGAGAGCTTAATTGCTTAATTTACAAATATCTTAGTTGCTTTCCTGGCTGTCTTTCTGCATAAAGTCATGGTGAGGAAGTCAGGGATAAGGTGTTTTTTGCATCGTTCCAAAACTGCCTCAGTATGCAGATTTGGAAAGAATGAACATGACTGGTTAGTGATTGTAAGGAATTCTGATAATAGCATAGTAGAAACTTGGATTTTTTAAAGATCTGTGGTAACTGTAACTTTTTTCCTAGGCTTTTAATTAAAGAAATAAAACAGATAAAGTCTGAATATGCAGTCCTGCAGATACAGTCTTGCAAGTAAGTGTTTTTCCTTGTAACTAAGTTAGCATATATAAAATCAATTTCTCACTCAATTTTATAAAATATGAACTATAATTTCATTGTAGTCCACTTGAACTTTTTTTTTGCATGTGCGTATAGGATGAAACAAAATGACCAAAACAAAAATGACAAAACTGAGAGAATTCAAAAGGTGAGCATTTTTTTTCTGCTGTGGCAGTGTACTTTATTTCTTCTTACATTTCCGCAACACTTACTCTCAGATACTGTTATTTCCACTTGTCTACCTGTGGTTACGCTAGCCCCTTCATCTGCCTTTATGCTATTTTGATACTCTCTCATTATAGGTGGCAAACATTTTAACGTAGCATTTTTGTCCTTCTTGCCTATTAAGGTCCGCAGTATGTGGACATGTATAATGGAAATGCTTACATCTCTGAAAAAGGAAAAGGAAGTTGTGGATTCTGTACTTCACGAACTTGAAGATTGTGATGGTCAGTGCATTTTAGATGGAACTAATATTGTTTCCAGTGTTCCACGGCTGTTGGCTTACAGAGTTGAAAGTGGCATACACCAAGTAAGTAATTTTTGTCCTTCTTGCTAAACTGTTTCTTTTTTTAAGTCACCGGGGGTGTAATTAGATACCTTTAAAAAAAACCCCAAAGTACTTCACAGATTATAAGAGACGATTCCTCAAGGATGGAGAAAATATGTCTAATTTGTATGTAAAAGTTTGTTATGATGATGCTGCTGTTTTGTATTGGTTATGTTTCAACCGTTAACTTTTTAAGTTCAGTAACTGCATTGGTAAGTCTGCCTGATTAGTACTTGGTTTTTTTTGTTTTTTAGACATTAAAACTAGATTGACCAGTTTAACTATTGCTTTAACTAATGGGCTTTTGTTTCCAGTGTGTAGTATACAGTGCTGTTTAGGCCTGCCACGTCTTTGGGGGTAGTGGTTAGGCAGAATACCTTATTAGTAGAAGTTTTCTTAGTTTGTATTGCTTTATGGGCTGCTTTCAAGCAGCTGATTCTGGAAAGCAAACCTGAGGCTTAAATCTAGAGTGCCTTTTTTGAAAAATGAAACAATTGGGAACTGAATCAAAATACAAAGTGGAACTTTGTATCCCTGCTCTGACTACAGAAGACATAACTTTCTGATATTGATGCTGTTCACTAATTCGTTTTTTTTCTTGCTTGCTATACTTCAAGGTTTGTACAGGAAATCTATATGAAGCTGAAAAACTGAATTTCTTAACGGTTATTCAGTTATTAAATGAAGCCCTGAGGACATTGAGAGATGAACGTTGTCAATCTGAATTAAACCAACAATTTCAGGTCATTGAGGATAAGGTTACGCGCTGTAATAAAGTACTACTGGATTTGAAAGCAAAGAGGTAATTGTCTGGAAATTTTCTCTGGTTCCTTATTCTTTAGTCTAAGGATCATGTTTTCCTACCTTGGAGTCTTTTCTAAAATAATATCATTTCTAGTGAGAACATGTTGGTTCAATCTTTTTCCTTTGCCTCTGGGAAATTCACATTTGTCTTGATTATCTATATAACTTTTAACTGAGATTCTTGTCTAGGTAACTTCTTTTGCCCTTGATTCATTAATATTTTAGGCTTTGTTCTGGGGACCTCATTTACTAGCTGATCTGATTTTAATTTTTTTTTCTTTCTTGTTATGTTAATCAGTTCTGGGATTTTAAAACTTTATCTGAAACTGGCTTAGGGAAAGTTTAAGTGCATATCTCATTGTGTGTATGTATTTTAGTGTAGTTCTTCAAATTCTGTTGTAAGAATCGTGAAGAGTACCGAGCAGCTGCTTTTTAGGTTGTGAATTTCAGTTAATTCGTAATGCATACACAAATGCATGAATAAGTTGATATATATTAAAGATCGTGTAGGTGTCGTGGTTAACCCCACGCGGCTGCTCACTCACCCCCCCTCCAGTGGGATGGGGGAGAGAATCGGGAGGGCACAAGTAGGAAAACTCCCGGGTTGAGGTAGAACAGTTTAATAATTGAAATAAAACAAAATAGAACAGTAATAGTAACAGTGAGAACAACAACAATAACAGAATATACAGAGCAGGCGATGCACAATGCAACTGCTCACTGACCACCGACCGCGTGTCACTGGGTTTTATACTGAGCATGATGTCACATGGTATAGAATACCCCACTGGCCGGCTGGGTCCACCACCCTAGCTGTGCATCCCCCGCCTGGTGTAAGCATCACCCAGCAACAGCCAAAGCATCAATGGACCATCAACGCTGCTTTCATACCAAATCAAAAACACAGCATACCCCCCAAGCTACTGGGAAGAAAGTTAACTCTGTCCCAGCTGGAACCAGGACAGTAGGATAAGGGGAACACATAATACTCTCCATCTTTAGGCAGAATTGTTATCTCCACCAACAGATGTGTTATGTTCATTTTCCATGCTCATATTACAGGCTAAAAATATGGCAACAGCATTGTGTGCCAACGAGTGCATCTATATCTAGAAAACAGGAAGAATGGAAAGCGAAGTGGAGAAGCTTTCTTAGACTGTGTCCTTTTAATTTAATCTTAGATCGGCATCCAGTAAGTAGTGTTCAATTTATCTGATGCTGGGGAAGAGAAAGGGTGAAGGTGAGAGAGGATGTACATCTAAGCTGGTGTGTTGTATTGCAACACTTAAGCTTTATATGTAAGGTTAGGGAATCAGATAGCACAATATAGCAGAAATTGCTTTATGAAGTAGTCTTTCTTAAAGAAGATACATTTAACTTAATGACAGCTGGTGTCTTCATTTGAGACGGGGGATGGAACCATTCTTGTCAAGACAGTAGATCAGCATAAGAGTGAGCTGATTGGTTTTGGTTTTGTCCATGTCCATCCCCCAGTGGAAATTGAATTGAGCTTTCGTGTGCTATCAGTCTGAACATCTGCTGAGTTCTGTTTTTCCCTCTCAAAGTGATCTGCTTGATGAATGAAAAATAATTTCCATTCTGACACATTGATACAGGGATCTGAGGTTATACTCTTGCTTAGCTACCCAACAGAGAGAGGAAAAGTTTCATGTTGAGTCTGACAGCTGGTTTGCAGAAAAGGCGTTGTAAATAATTGTCTGTTAATTGCTGCTGTTATGCAGATTTTTTCAGCCTGCTTGTGTAACTTTTTTTTTTTCTTTTGAAAGGAACTTGATTTAAGAGCTTCGCCACCCCATTCTTTCAATTTTGCAGAAGGTGATGAGGAGGATAGTGTCTTTTGTCAACATCTACTATCAGTTTCAGGTGGGTGAACAGGAGAAGCTGCTTTTCCTTCTCCCCCCACTGCCACAACTGTTAAAAGTTACTTGGAGTCAAAAAGACTCCCTTCTTGCGTTTGCAAGTATCTTTGTTAGTCTTTGATAATCTGGTTCTGAATGATTGCCTGCCACAATTGCCTTCCGTTTTTCAACCTTGTCATATCTCAAAGATTCTCTGAAGCTTTTGATCTGGCAAAAAAACAGTGCTGCAGCTGTTTGGTATTTTGTTCTTGCATGAAGGATGTTGAGAGAGATTTCCATGTACAAAGGTGCATTCATGGGTTCTAGGGAACACGTTCACTCTAACAGTAAAAAGTTGCTTCAGGTTGGAGGAGTAATAAGAAAGAGATAAAGAAGATAAAACTTTTCCCATTGGCCAGCTGGGAAAATAAATTGAAGGTGTCCTCCCAGGTAAGCATCTTTCCCTGGTGCATTCTGAAATACTTATTCCACAGTAACTGACACTTGGTCAGGACCTTACTTGATCTCTGTGTTGGTTGCTATCAGTCATTAGGTTACAGTGCTGATCAGAGCTCACTTTGATCAGACATGGATGTTGCACGTGCTAGTTGGCTGATGAGCTGATTGTATTTTACTGGATAGTGCTTATTGACCAAGTGTTGACTGTCCCTAGTATGGAGTTATAAATTAGAAGCTACAAAGCAAGGGTGGAAAAAGAGGGGGAGGACAGCTTGAATCATGTAATTTGCAGTCCTTTTAGGAAAAATGACATAGCCGACATGTGTTGGAATTTAAAGCTGCAAAGCAGTAGGGAGAACATCCTTCTGGTTACAAAGGTGAAAGCACTGTTCCAGCAGTCTGAGGGTATGTAGGTATAAGGCTAGAAGCTGCAAAGGCTACAGAATTGCAAATGGAAGGTCATTTGCCTTAAAAATTTCAAAGATTAAAGCACTGTGCAATAATGCTGTGAGCTTCTGGCAATATCAGAAAGCTTGAGACAAACTGGTGTCTGTGGCATTCTCTCTAATCTGTGGTTAAGATGCTTGATCTGAGAATCCAGCCACTAAGAAAACTAACTTTCTGCCTGTTAACATGGTAGGCTTTAAGAAAATGTTAACCTCACCAAACTTCTTCAAGTGAGCTTGGATTTTGGAGGTGGTGTTGAGGTGAATACAAAGGAAATGCCATTTATGTTTGCAGAAGCTGAAATTTAGGGTTAGTAGGGAACTACTGAGGTTAAACTTTGGCTGTTTATCCAAATCATGTGCCAAAATAGATATTTATTGTTCTAAAGAGTCCTGAGATGAGGTACGTGTACCTCTGATAACGTGCAAAACATTTCCTTATAGTGTGCTTTGCCTTGCTTGGACTGAGGCAGCATTGATCAGAGGGATGACTATGTCCACAGAGGTACTTATTGATAAATGCAGGTGAAGGTGGTGGGGAAAATACCGGTGGAATTTTGCTTTGTGGAATTGATGTGTCACGCAATGTGTATATGGAGAGGAGGGGATAATGATGGCATGTGGCTTGGATTGTAGTTTGGAGGAAGGTGGAATGTATGATTGATATGTGCAGGGCAGCAGATAGAATCACGCCTCTCCAACATGCGTTCAGGAACAACACAGATAGGTGCTGGCTGCTAGTGGCATCTGTGGCTGCAAGTGATACCTGAGCAAAAGGATTGATTTCACTGTCCTGCTTATGTATTAATTTATTTTTCTTGAAGTGTTCATAAAGTCCATTATGTGAATAGTCTACAGAAGTGGTCTGAGTCACTTGTGTCACCTGGGAAGCCTGAGCAAAAAAAAATAGAAGCAGTAATAAAACTCTTGACTTGCTTTTCTAGAAGTTTGTGACTCTGTTCATGAAGTACATTATGAGAAAAATGATGGGGCATCGGAAACTATGATGGATAAGTCAACACCACCACCAAGATGGTATGATGTTAATGAGAAATTGATAAAAAAGCAGTGGAAAAATAGAAATTTGCTTGTTGGAGTTGTAATATATTGCCTCTCTTGATCCTTAGTGGAATATTTCAGTAGCCCACTCCTTAGATATCATATCCACCTGATTTAGCAAGATAGTCCTAAAGTAACTGCCGCTTTCTCCAGCTGGTGATTGATCAACTGGTTGCTGCTGAATAGGATGTGCAGCAGCCAAGTTGCAAGGTTTTTATATCAGTTTTTAACTACATTCTTTCAAGTTTTAAGAGGCGGGTGGAGAAAACAGAATTCTGTTTCTTAGGCTGGGTTGAGGTAGGCATATATGTTCAGTATAGCCTGAGAATAAAAGAACAGACGTTCACAGGACCCCTTTTTTTGTGTTTAAAAAAACCCAACTGAAACCAAACCAAACAAAAAACCCTGACTCCCAAGCAGAATTACTGTGTTAAACCTTCTCAACAAGGCTTTTCTCATGAATTTTCTAAAATCACTTTGTTCTGTAGCGTCTCTTACTACAGTTCCAGCAAAGGATAGAACACAAAACAATGGTATTGTAAAAAGTTTTGGCCTGTTTGCCATTTACTTAGTCCAGGAAGATTTCATGACCTTTCGATTAACGCTGTATTTCATAATATGACTCCTACAGATACTTGAAAGTTGCCTACTAGGAGAGTTAGTTGAAAGGCAGTTAGCAAGGGAAGGCTGTCCTATACTTAGACATCAGTAGATGTAGTTGCATATCATCTTAAAGGTTGTGCAAGTAGTTAACAATTAAAGCCTGGATTTCTCTCAGTGACTTCATACAGCATGGATTTTTGTCTGCTGCTGATTCTAAAGACAGATAACAGCAAATATTCATGTTTTAAGGTGCATTCTTCCTAACAAGTTAGGGCTGTACCTTACATTTTAGAGACCTATGCATCTAGCACTACGCTCATCAGAAGTGATAAGACTCAAGTTTTTGGTAGCCAGGTGATTGTGAAATATCAGTAAGTTCATATAGGAACAGACCTGTGGATGCCAGAGGAAGAATATCGAGGGAAAAAGAACATTACCAAGTCTGCAGAAGACTTTCCAGTTATCTGTGATTGCAGGATACAGAAGACTTGTGTACAAAATGTATCATAAAATCCCTTCTTTTTCTGTTTGTAATCAAGGGAAAAGTTTTGTAATTTATTAATTTTGGGAGGCTGATACACAGCTAGGGCTAAATCTGCTCTAATTGTCACATGTTCTCCCTATAGTAAAATTGCCTTCTGATGACCGGGACGAATTGAGGGAAATCGTAACGGACAGATACGGGGCACACAATATGTAATAGCCTTCTACTAAGACTTGCATGCCACTTGTTTAATTTGTCTCTAAAACATCTTTTTTTTTCTTCTCCCCCCTCTCCCACCCCCCCCAAGGATCTCTTCAGTGCCTTTGGAGTTGTCAAAAGCATCTGAAAACAGAGATGTGTTAATTGAAAAGGTTATTCTTCAGTAATTTCCTACATGTCAAAGAAGTTAAACTTACGATATTTGCTTTTTACATTGATTGAAGCCTAGACGTAGTATTTAGTATTTGGTGGGGAGGGTTGTGGTTTTTTGGTTTTGTTGTTTTTTTTTTAAAGTAGTATTTTTACATATCTGAATCAGTCCTGTAAAACTGTAAAAGCTAACTGCCAGGGACTTCATTAAGCTTTAGGAAAGGACAGTAGGAAGTAGGTGCACTTGCACCTGACTTCCAGTACAATGTACAGTGTGTCACTGATTTCCTGCTTGCTGAAACAGTCTTTTTGGTGTGAGCAGTGGTTAGACTTTGATGTTTCTTTAAGTTGCGTGTGAACTTAAGGCTTATAATGTGGCCTAAAAGCAACTTGGATGTACAGTTGTTCATTGCACAATTGTTCACTGTAGTGTGTTCAAGGTAGTTGCAGATGAGTCATCTCATCTGCAACTGGATGTTCTATGTTCTATGCAACACCCTATCCTAGCCACTTAAGTCCGACTTTAAATACGATTGTAAAAATATTTTGCATTTAGTTAGAATTTAAGACTGAAATATTTTTATTTACTAAACACTAAGACCATTGCTGTTCAGAATTTGTACAGCAGTTTCTTCATGCTAATTTTCTGACACCTGAGTTAAAAACTTCTAGTAATTCCTGTGTATTCCTCTAGGACTTGCATACTGAAACTATCAAGGGGGAAAAAAAGCCTGTGCCTCCAAAGATCTTAAAAAATGGAAAGGATGAGTACACCATTTCAAAAATGTGGGAGGATGCAGGTGATCATGTTATCCAGAGAGAGTCTCCTGTCAAAAAAGAAGACTCTCTTAAGAAAACGAGAGATGAACTGGCAGAAGAGGTTAGGAAAAGTTATTTTTAAATTTTTTGTTTGTTTGTATGTAAATAAATGTTCATTAAGTTCAGAGAACAAATTATAATTATATCATAAAATGCCTCTCGTAATCCACATACGTCAAAAGTTACTTTTTTCTGCTAGTATCACTAAGTTTTAGGGGTGACTGCCCAACTGAGTACACCCTGAAAGCATGGAGCTTGTGCAGTTATCATACTTACAAATCATGGTGAAGTGCATAGTACTTTCAGTAGAATCGTGGTATGATTTTTATCACCTCATACTTTATGAACTACTGCATATATTAAGAATTCAACAGTCCTTTTTGTTTCTGAAGTTACGCAGGTTAAATATTTAACAGGGGCTTGGGAATTTTAAGTAGGAATTTAAGTATTTGCTCTCTTAGGTATTTTATTTAAGATGTAACTGAGGAATTCCTTCACAAGAGTTATTGTAAAATGTGCCACAGCTTGATTTGGAAAGTAAGTTGCATCTTTCACTGAAATGGTACAGTTATTTTTCATCTGCTAAAATGTTTTATGTATGTAAATATAGCTCTAGTCTTCATCCTTATGCAGTTCTTGACTAGTGTCTTAAATGTATTTTATCTGAGCACATTTTCTTATTTTTGTTAAAGATTGATTCATAGATAATGAGGGAACTTAGAATTGAATTCTGATTTCAGTCTCCTATCTTCATTTTGTGTTTTCTAGGACACTTACTACTTAGGCTCACTGTGGTCATTGTGAGCCTAAGTAGTAAGTGACAGAAGAAGAGTCAGGAAATTCCCAACTCTTGGGATTTATTTCGAGCCATAACTGACAGAAGTAAAGAGGTTATAATTTTGCTTTCTCAGGATTTGCCCTTCTTTAACATCCTGCAGGTTGCAAAAACAGTGGTATCTGAGTCACCTCAGAGTGGTGAAGGAAAAGGAATGGCATTAGAAGATCTCATTAGCTCACTGGCTGTTAATGCATTTTTAACAAGGAAACAAATTCCCCGAACTCCAGAAAATCTGCGTAAGTCTAAAACTCTGTTTTTTATAATACTCATTGATTAGAAATGTGATTAGTTCATTGACATTCTATACCTCACACAAGAAGAAAAAGATAATTATTTCAGTGAAGTTGCAAGTTACCCTAATGGCTCACTCTGTAACACAATATAGTAGGCCTAATAAGATGTGAATATTGTGAATTTGATTTAACATAGCTATTTTTCCTGTGTAGAATCTCCTTTGTGTTGAGGAAGAAAACTAAGCATAAACAATATAAGCAACTATACATCTTCCTTCTTGGATTGCTTATGTTACTAAGAGACAGAAAAAAACCAGACTGATTGAGAGTATGAAGTACTAAATTTTACCTTGATTTGTTCCGTTTAGTTACAGAAATTAGAAGCTCATGGAGAAAAGCTATTGAGATTGATGGTTCATCAGACATAGAGGTGGCCCCAGCTGAAGTAATGAGAGAAGAAGCTCCAATGGATGCTGGACCTATAGTGCAGAAGGCAGCAGACTCTAGATTTGTGTGCTCTACCCCTGCATCTCCTGTACCTGACTTTGATCCTCCCTGGTCAGAAATGGAGTCCCAATCAAGTTCTACAGAATTTAGATGTCAAGAGCAGATGAGGGTAAGTCATATCATTGAACCTCCAGTTTTAGAAACATCTGGAATGCGAGAGAGTGAGAGAACTGAAGAACAGGAATTAAAATGTATTGTTTTGAACAAAAGTTCTGTACAAGATCCAGAAGAACCGACTTTTCAATATGTAAAGAAGAGCATGAATACTACAAGTACTTGTTCAGAAAACAGTAGTAGAACAGATGTTCTACCTTCAGACCACTTTCAGGGTTCCTTAATGGATGGGATGCTGCACTGGGATGTATCTTCATTGGTAAGTTCTATCCGTCGTGAAGCTGCCTTCTTGAGGATATTGGATGAGTCATTTCCAGAAGAACTTGATAACATAGATCCCAACAAATCTGAAAACTCAGAGTCTGATTTTGATGTAATAGACAGCACATATGTAACAGGTGGTTCAAAAAATAAGGGGGATATTCAAAAATCAAAGCTAGATATACAGCCCCTGTTCAACACATACAAAGCACTGAAAAAGACTGCATCTAGAAATGAAGAGGAGGTGCATCAAACACCTAATGGAGGTGAATCTGGAAGTTGTAGATCAGACCTAAGTCTTGCACCAGAAAAAGGAGAAGGAGATGAATTTTGTGGTCCTCTAGAACCCTTCTGCTTGGATGAGGAATTTATCAAGATGACATCACCAGTATCTCTTGGCGATGAAAGAAAATATTCCCTGTCATCTTTGCTGATATCCTGTCAACATCTGGAGGAAATGGCATCAATGGTACATGAAATCCCGTTAGACTTAATACATAAATTGAAGGGTAAGTATCCATGTACTTTTGCAACAAGATTTTATCCATTCTGCCACTGGGTATGCTACCATAAATAATCTACTCTGAGTAGCTGAACCCTGCTGTGGAAGTGTAGGGAGATGGATTATTTGTATGGTTGTTCCTTATGGAAGATGAGACATAAAAGCAAAGGAAACATGGTTTTTTTTAGTTGCATCAGTGTCTTGCAAGTAGGAAGAAAGGTGTTCATCTGACTTCCTGAGGTAATCTGCAGCTATTTTAAAAAAAAAAAAAAAAAGCCTTAAGGTGCGTTAGCAATGGAGTAATCTGAAGTTAAATTTTGAGAATTCACAAAGTTAGTTTGAAATAGTGTGTTTACTCTGAATAAATTTGGCTATTTAGAAATGTGTTGTATGTAACTGGAACTTTTGTGGTGTCAATCAGGTGTTCATAGTCTGCAATACTTCATGAATATACTTTTTATTATGAAATATCCTGCATTCCAGCCTGCTGCCCCCTCACCCCATTTCCAACAGAAGTGTCAACTTTGTTTAACCAGTAGTGCAGTGTTTAGTTACATGTGAGGTCAATTTTTGAAATGCATTAAGTAAAATGAACCAGTATATACACAAGACTTTCACCAAAACAGGTGGTATTTAGTGGAGTACTGGGAATTTAACCCAACAAACTAATCTCAAGGAGTGTGAGATTTATACTTTGTGCAAATTGCTTGCTGCAATTTAGCTTTTGCTTAAAGTTGTGGCAGTACTGGTAGCAGATGATTTTACCTTACTTGGAACAGTTATCAAAATTAGAAGTACCATTTCATATATGCTTTTTTCAATATACGCCAAACAGTTTTGGAGCGGTATTTCTGTCAATTAACTGAATATTATAGGGTGCTAACTAATACACTTTTTCTTCCAGATAAAGAGCAGTTGAATGAGAAGCTGGGCACGAAGGAACCGTCATCAGGATAGGATTTGTAAAGCAGAAGCATAACCATAGTAGCACAATTATGGTTCACCTGAGCGTGTAGCATCTTCTCCAAGCACTGCCTGGATGGAGAAGTTGCACTCCTTTCTATTTTTTGTGGAGACTGTATTCTAGTCTCTTTATTTAAGGATGTCAGTTGCCTGCTCTGGTTCTTCCAATTTCGTGTCATCCATAGTAGCATTCTATGTGACAGCCCATCATTTATGTACAGAACTATATATTCCTTTTTAAGCATACTTGTAAAAGTAGCAGATGTTGAGTAGGTGGCATAATCCTAGAAAATGGAAACACGAAGTCTCAAATGAGAAATAGTGAAATCGTTGGTGTCTCTATCTTGCCCCTAATTCCCCTCCTCCTCCCCCAAAAAAACGCACCTACTCACCCAAGTTTTACTTGGTGTTCTACATTCATTGGATTCTTCTCTCTTATTGAGACTTCTGTTTAGTTTTGCCATCAGTTCTACCTGTTGATAGAGGCTGCTCTCTAAACTTCCACTGAAGTGCATGTTTCTTTAGGCATATTACTGAATAAATGTTTTACACTGAAGTTGCAAAAATTTATGACTTGTGGTACTGTTAATGCCACTTTATTTTCAAATAGTTGATACACATTTGTGACACTGTGGTATAAGTAACTAATAATACTGCTTGTGGTGGGGTGGGAATGCAAAAGTTGAGGTTCCAGCAGATAAACTTATTGTAAAAGTACTGACCCCTAACCTGATGTGTTTACAGAGTTTTGAAGCATTCCTAAGTAGAGTTGTTTTTCTGTTCTGGTATATCTTTCTCCTCCTTTTTTCCAAAACAGTTCCAAATAGGTTATAAGAAGAATCTCCACTTGCATTTGTCATCTTCCTTATAAAGCAGAATTTGACAAGCTTTATGAAAAGAGATTTAGATGTGGCTGGTTGTGGAAGCTATAATGTGGCTGCTAACATGTTAACAGCTAAGAGGGAAGTGCTTCTTAATAGCCCATTTACATGTTGATCTGATCATGGTCAAACAGCTAAAGAATTGAAAGGTCTGACCTTAGCTATTGGCTCTCTGGAACTGGCCCAGCTGTGTTCCATGCAGACCTGGCTTCTAGAGCTTGGTGCTGGTGACTTCACAAAGATTCCCCAGGTGACTGTCAAGGTTTTCTTGCCCTTGTCAGAAGAGGCTTGAAAGCAGGACTGTAGAGCTCTGGTTGGGATGCCACCAGAGGAACCTGGGCATGCTGCCCCAGGGAAGGAGCTGGTCAGTTGGGATGTGTAGTGTAGTCTGTACCAACGTCATGTGCTCTGTCCCTGCTTCTGGAGGCTCCTAGATCATCTTCTGATGTAATTGTCTCCAGAGACTGCTGCTGAAGAGGGGGTTTTTTTTTTTTTTTGGAGGTTGGGGTTTTTTTTGTTTGTGGTGTTTTTTTTTTTTTGTTCTGCCCTGGAGCATCTGCTGGGAAGGACCTGAACCATAACTCTTTTTATTAGCAAACATGTCTCCTGTATCGCCTGTGTCTTTGCATGTAGTTCCATCCTTGAAGAAGTGCATTTGTCAGCTGTGCTCCTGTGGGTATGTAAAAGGCTGGGGGGAAGGAGCTTGGAGTAGCAGTTACTTGGCTAGCAGGCTGCACTGCTCTTTAGGGCTGCACTGTTATTCACTGCTATAAGTTGCATATGAAAGATGATAAATAAAGGTATCTTAGAGCATTTTTAAAGCTTTAAAACAGGAAGTATTTTTCCCCCATTCTGCCTATTCAACCATGTGGCTCTTGTTTTTGTCATAAGAGTAAACAAATGGCAAGGAGGCTTCCCATTTTTCTTATGTAGGTGGATTGCATCTCTAAGAGGAGAGCTTTCCGCTTTTTGGCCACAAACTTGCTTTTGAATGGGTGTTACTGGCTTTGAGTCTGTGTTTTAATGTAATACAAAGTGGTACTTCCTCTGTAAACATGCTAATTCTGGAAAAGATACAGGGGTAGAGCTTTACAAATGGAAGAGGCAACTGAAAATACCAGGATTCATTAGCGGTTTTGTTAGTGTCAGTCTTGTGAATGTATCCAACTTTTCTTGAATGCAATGATTAGTTTTAGGCCCTTCAGCATAATGTCCATTCTGCCATATTTGCAGGTTAAAGGTGAAATTATTATCAGGGAAAAAAAAAAAGAATCATAAAGGAGTTTGTATTGGAAGGGTCCTGTAAAGGTCATCTAGTCCAACTCCCCTGCCATGGGCAGGGATATCTGCAACTAGATCAGGTTGCTCAGAGCCCCATCCAGCCAGACCTTGAGTGTTTCCAGGGATGGGGCATTTACCATCTCTCTGGGCAACCTGTCCCAGTGTTTCACCACCCTCACTGTAAAAAATTTATTCCTTGTATCTAGTTTAAATCTACCCTCCTTTAATTTAAAACCATTACCCTTTGTCCTGTCGCAACAGGCCCTACTGAAAAGTTTGCCGCCATCTTTCTTATGAGCCTCCTTTAAGTACTGAAAGGCTGCAATAAGGTCTTCCCAAAACCTTCTCTTCTCCAGGCTGAATAACCCCAACTCTCTCAGCCTTTCTTCATAGGAGAGGCGTTCCATCCCCCTGATCATTTTCGTGGCCCTCCTCTGGACCTGCTCCAGCAAGTCCATGTCTTTCTTGTGCTGAGGACTCCAGAGCTGGACGCAGTGCTCCAGGTGGGGTCTCACCAGAGCGGAGTAGAGGGGCAGAATCACCTCCTTCGACCTGCTGGCCACGCTTCTTTTGATGCAGCCCAGGATACAGTTGGCTTTCTGGGCTGCGAGTGCACATTGTTGGCTCATGTCCAGCCTTTCATCCACCAGTACCCCCAAGTCCTTCTTGGCAGGGCTGCTCTCAATCCCTTCATCCCCCACTCTGTATTGATACCAGGGGTTGCCCTGACCCAGGTGCAGGACGTTGCACTTGGCTTTGTTGAACCTCATGAGGTTCACACAGGCCCACTTCTCGAGCTTGTCCAGGCCCCTCTGGATGGCATCCCGTGTCTCAGGTTTGTCGAGCGCACCACTCAGCTTGGTGTCATCTGGAAACTTGCTGAGGGTGCACTTGATCCCATTGTCTATGTCATTGATGAAGGTATTAAATTACTGGTCCTGGTACGGACCCCTGTGGGACACCATTTGTCACCAATCTCCATCTGGACATTGATATCTTCCTGACTCATTCAGATTACATGCCTTAGTTTGTTTTAAAGCTACTAAACAATTATGAAGAGAGTTTAAAAGTACAAAATTCCCACCCAGAGTTTATATCAGGCTGGTATGCATCGTTGTTACTCATCATGAGTAACAAGCACATGTACCCCAGAAAGAATACCAATAGAAATGTTGATACCAAGCAGATTGTAAGCTATATTTTTGAGTACTTTTCTCAAACTCTCATTTGTAAGGTACAAGTGCATCTGCTCCTTCCATTCCTCATTCTGTATGTATCATTCCTTTTTTTTATCAGTATTTATATTTGACTTTGGGAAATTTGTTCAGAGAGAAGTAACAGTGATTTGATTATTGTGTTAGAGGACTGTGCTATCAAGGACCTAAACATGTAGCACTGAGATCTGGATTGAGAAGAATCGTCTGGTTCTAACCAAGTAATATACTGAAGTATAGGTCTGTCTTTGAGGCTTGCAGTAATCTTTCAGATGCTAGATGAGCTAGTAGGGTAGCTCAATCTAAGGATGTGGATAATACCTTGATCACGGCCTGTCTTGAAAAATTAAACTGGATTTTGGGTTGCTACTGCATTGACAATTCTAGATTAAGAAGTGACAGTTAAGAATTTTGAGTTTCCTGTGAAGACCTGGCCTCAAATTCCAAGTGATATATATAAAAGTGGAAATGATATACCTGTGCACCTTAGGGATCTTTACTGCTTGCAGGTAAGTGCAACACTATGGGTTTTGTGTTATAAGTAGTAGCTCACCTGTCCACTGGTTTGTGGCGGATACTTAGGAAATTTTGGTTAGGCTTATATTAGAAGGCCATCATAATTATGTTGAACTTCAGGATAAAACCCTTCTCTTGTAGAGCAGTAATTTGCTGATTAGTGAGGGGGAGTTGGGAGAAGAGCAGGGTATTATCAGCAGCTACAAATACAACTTTGTATATATTTTTGTGACTTCTTTAAAACTGGTATTTGCTGAAGAGGAATACAGTATTCATAATGTACAGTGTTAAGTGTCTAAGATACCTATCCTGAAATACCGTTCAGAAGTACTTGACCATTAAGCTTGGGAAATAATTTTCTCATTAACTTCCTAATCAGAAGATTCTTCCATTTAACTTCCTAAGAATAAGGAATTTGGGCTCCTGAAGTTAGGTGTGCTGGATTATCATTAGCTGAGGTACACAGTGCAAATGCCTCACTTTACTCTCCAGAGAAGAATACGCCATAATTTAGTGCAGCACTGCAGAGCAGTCAGTATTTTGCAGTTTAGATTTGCCCATCCTTACCCGCTGAGTTCCAAAAGGACAGGTTTACGAACGTCTATATTCCTTGGTCTCTTTTACTTTGGAAGATTATACTAACATTCTCTTCTTACCAAAGCATATATGCATTGCTCATAAAGGTATGATGAAGTGTCTGGAGTATCTTGCCTCCAAGTATAATATCAAGCGGTACAATGTTTGGTAGTAGCATATCACATAATGTGTAGCTATTACAAAACATAAATTGCTATAACTTTCGCAGAGTAACAGATAACTGTTTGCAGTTTGTCCTGTATACGTTCTGTCTGTACTGAACATACATCAGTCTATTTTTATTGAAAAGTAAAGCTAAAAAAACCATAATTGACTGTCACTAGTTCTCTGAGCATTGAAAAATGCAAATACAGTTCTGTCAGTGGATTTGTGCAAGTAATGGGAGAAACGGTCTCAATTATGAAACTTAATGAACAGCAAGTCCCCTCTGTAATTGCTGCTTTTAGGATAGTTCATTGTGGCCGGTGGTAGGACTAGCTGAAAGATAAAATTTCTACTTTGTACT